GAACTGACAAAAAGGAAGATATGGTTTGTTTGATGGAACATGAAGTGGTGGGCTCTGAACATGAGGTGATGTTGCTCTCAGCTGTAAGCAACATGAGCTGCCCCATCACCCTGTGGAAAGCAGTTTAAACATGAGGTAGCATCTGCATTATCTGCATGAAATAGAGTAGCTGCTACCCCTGACTAGTGACCTTGTACTTCCTTCATAGCACCATTCAGAGTCATAAATGCTTTGTTTATTCTATATTATTTGGTTCCCCACCCACCTCCCTTAAAACTAGTAGCTGCTTCAGAGCAAAAGCCATGTCTGTCTTTTCCACGCCTGTATCCTTGGCACTAGAACAGTGCCAAGACAGCACTAGACAGCAAGGATTGCCCTTCACACACAAATTTGTTTTGTAAACTTGAATGGCAGCACTGCAGCAGGCCTGTGGATGAGGACACATGCTTCATGAAAGGGGTCTTCTGGAGAAGGAAAGCTTTAAAAAAAAATGCCAAAGAACCACCAAGCAGGTGGCCTGATGGTGCCTAAGGGGAGCACTGTGAAATACTAATAGCTCATATAGGGGTGTGATGGAAGACTGGAAGAGGCAAATGGATACTGACTGAGCCAGTACTGAAAATGCACAAAGCTTTGGCCCAGAGTCTAAGAGACACACTAGGAAAAGACAGTATATCAAAGGCCCAGGAGGAAATAGAAAGAAAAGTATTTTTTTTGGGCAAATAGTAGGCAGTTGAGAGCCTCCCTGAGTGTTGGTATGAGATAGCTCTGTAGACAGAAGCATCAATCACAGGTAAACTAAACTTCTAAACTAACATTTTAGACAGAAAACCTTTGTCTTGGCCTTTGACGGACTCAGGATGGCCAGTTACTGGTGAAGTCTCAGCATGTAAAGACCACTGATGAACTTTTAAACGTGAACCCTTAAAACTGAAGTTATCGGCTCCCTGATCTTATTTTGAAAATAGTTATAGCCATGTTCATTTAATTATGAAAACAGAAGCTGCCCAGGCTCCTCATCGATATGCATCATCTGCCTGGGGGTGCTGTGCTGGGCAGGTGTGTGTGGTCATCACTCCCCTGTGGCAGTTTCCACGCCTGCTGAAGCCCTAAGGGGGCTGCCTCTGCCTCCCATTTTAAAGTCACATGAGCTCCCAGAATGTGTGTGTGTGTGTGTGTGTGTGTGGCATGGGGGCATGCTTTCCCTAGCTATATCTGAGTCTCAATTCCCATCTGTAAATTGGATACAACAACATCAACATTTTAGAATTATTGTGAGGATTAACAGATAATATAACAAATTGCTTAGCACCCTATGTCGTACCTAGACCATATGCAAATAAATAGTTGCTACTGTCTGGGTGTGGTGGCTCACACCTATAATCCTAGCACTTTGGGAGGCCGAGGTAGAAGGATTGCTTGAGCTCAGGAGTTTGAGACCAACCTCAGCAACATAGTCCACTCTCCTCTCTACAAATAATTAACCAATTGGCTGGGCATGGTGGTGCATGCCTGTGGTCCCAGTTAGTTGGGAGGCTGCGCTTGAGCCCAGGTGGTCAAGGCTGCAGAGAGCAGTGACCAAGCCACTGCACTCCAGCCTGGGTGATAGAATGAGACCCTGTCAACAAATAAATAAATAAATAAATAAATAGTAGCTACCACAAGGAAGACGGGCTGAGCACAACTTACGATTTTTGAGTCTTTTGTTCCATAACTGGAACTCAATGATAAAGCATATAAAGCTGCATAACCACTTTGGAAAACCATTTGTCAATATCTGTGAAAGTCCAATATACTCCTGTCGGATCACCCAGCAATTCCACTCCTAGGCATATTCCTAAAAGAAGTGTTGTCCACAAAGGAAACTCACACAAACATTAAAAGCTGTATTGTTCACAATAGCCCCAAACTGAAAACAACCCAAATGTCCATCAAGTAAAATGATTACATTGCAATATTCATATGATGAAATATACATAACAATGTGAGAAAATTATTGCAACTCAGAACAACATGGGTGATTTTCACAAGGATAATGTTGAGCAAAAGAAGCCAGACATGAAAAAGCTCACACTTGTATGATTCTATTTATAAAAGTCTCAAAAATAAGCCAAACTGATCTATAATATTAGAAGTGAGAAGTATGGTGACATTGTGGATGTGTGGGCTGGTGATAATGTTCTATGTCTTCATCTGCATGATGGTTACATAGATGTGCCACCTTGTAAGAATTCGTTGAAGTTGTGAGTTGCATTTCTTTGTGTATGTATGTGATATGTGGTAGCCTGCATTATTGCTTCTAATTCTTTGCTCTCTCTCCACTTTGGACAGAGTATGTTTCCCTGCTTAAAGTTGGGCTTGTCCATTTGACTTGCTTTGGCCAATGGGATATTGCTCGGTGTGATGTGAAAAAAGACATGAAATGTGTTCAAGCAGTTTGGTTTTGCCCCCTTGGGTTTCTGCCATAGTCATAAGAACATACCCCAGAAAGCTGATGCTTTCTTGGCCTGGTTTCCAGAATAATATGAATGGAACAGACTGAGCCAGCCCTGGAAAAGTCAGGCTGAGCCTATTTAAGTTACAGCTGACCATGGTGGCAGTGGTGGGGGTCGGGGGAGTTGTTGTTTCAAGCAACTGAGTGTTGCTATTTTTTGTTAAACAGCATTATTGAGGCAACAGTTGACTAATACACTATTCATTTTTAAAAAGTACTTGAAACTCTTATGTTCTGTCTTCTTAATAGCCACCGTTTTCAATTTAAAATTACCGACATCCATCTCCAGCACTTAGATGGCCTTATTCATGTAACACAACCAAATGAACCTCAGTTTTCTTATCTATAAAATGGGATAATACTTATTTCACAATGCTCTTGGGAGGACTTAAGGAGCTGGTAGACTTAAAAGCACTTTGTAAACTGCAAAACACAATTTTAAAGTGATGGATGATGGGGTCAGGTGGGGAAACGAGTGCATGGATCATGCCATCCACCAGGCAAAGCTGCTTCCTCTTGACCACAGTCCATGCTGGCTCAGAGGGTGGGGGTACAACTATGGGGAGGAGACTAGAAGAAAAATATCTGAGCCTACAGTAGAGCAGACACCAAGCTTCTGAACATAGTTCTGTGGGTCCAGGCTGTCTTGAGAGATGGCAATGATGATTAGGTCTCTGGAATGCCAGCTTATGCACAGACAAAGTAGACAATACAGAACCCTAGGAAGGACACGACAACCCTTAAATCTACACCCTCCCATTACCTTCTCCAGTGTCTGCAGGACCTCCATTAGTGTTTCATTTAAGTGGGTTATGGCACTGTGTGCCTAACTATCCCGTTAATCCTTACTGCCATTCTTAGCTACATCCCAGTTTATAGAGAGCAGGCCCATCTGTTCAGTCATTTTGATATTATTTCCATTGTGTGGATAATGAACCTGAGATTCTGACAGATTAACTGATTTCTGAAAGGCCCTTAGTTAATGAGCTTTAGAGATGAATTTGCAACAAGTTCTCTGACCAAAACTTAGGAAGGCAACTCACTGAAATGAGCAAGAATTCCATCATTAGATAATAGGTTGTACTCTCAGAAAACAGGTGGCATTGGCCCAAGGGGACAGGATCAGTAAGTTTTTGGAACTGGAGGCTAACCTGATTAAGCCCACCAAACTTAACCTGCATTGCTTGCTTTTAATCACTTACTTCTAGTTAATCTTAACACCTATAGAGCTAAAAGTCCCATAGCTAACCAATCCACTAGCTTCCTTACAAACTACTTATCTGATCACCATTGTAACAGTTGCTAAAAGTTGTTTTTCAGGAACTTGGGGTTAGCTCTTGTCCAGTTAAAGCCAGTTGAGATCACTGACCCTTCAACTGGGTTGTAGAAATGCCCAAGAGGTGACCTCTTGAAGTCAGAAGGCCAAAACTCTTCCTGAAGATCACACAGGCACAGCCATTTTCTGAACATAAATCATGTGAAGAGCCATGAACCATGACTATGGAAGCGCAGAACGCTGATTATCTCACTTTCCCCCACTGCCATTCATCTTTCCCCATGCCTTAGACTACCCCACGACTTTATCCCGTAGATAGCCCTAAATCCTCTCTTTGGAGGCAGATTTGGGATCTGTTCTGCCTCCTCACTTGGCTGCCTCATGATTAAACTTTCTTTTTTGCAAAACCCATTGTCATGGTGATTGGTTTGCTGTCCACAGACCGAATGAGCCTGCTTTGGTATCATTTTGACAGACGGATAGGAGAAAATGGGTTTGGAGCATAGGGTAAGCAGTGGATTTTGAAGGGGGTGGGGCATGGGGAAGATGAGGAAGTCAGAAGGAGGAACTGTGTAGAAGAGGAAGAGACTGCAGACCCCTGAGCCCAGCCTACTGAGAGTGCTCATTCTGGGCTGTCCCACCTGTACCCAGAAGAGGAGCTTCCCAGCAATAGCTCTGGGAGAAAAGAAAGGATGCCAACCATGTCCAGGGATGTAACTGCCCTGCCTCTTCCAACAGTCTGGGGATGATGCGGTCACCACATTCTGCTATGAGAGCCACCCTTGAGGGCCCTTCCACTGCCCACCTAGTTTGAGGGCCTGAGTAAAATGTCAGACTTGTTTCCAACCACTCTGGTCTTCTCATTCCTTCCTCTGCCCACTCCCCACCCTGCAAACCCCTGAGACTGGCCAGCTGCCTGGCCTAAGACTGGTTCCTCTAACCAGCACAGTCCTCACCATCAACATGGTGACAGTGGCCACAGAAAACAAGATCCTTGAATAAAATTGTACTAAGCAAACATATACATGCAAATAAAAAGCAGCAACCATTAAGGCAGGGTTTTGGGGTGGGGTTTGCAGCAATTTTTACATGGGTGGGGTAGAGACATTTTATTGCCAAGGTGAGCCATCCCTGGTCCCTCCCTGGACACAACTGCTGGGTGACTCTGCCCTGAAGCAAGCCCTGCCCCTATTCTCCAGTCCCCAGTTGATTCTGTGGCTGCAAACGTACCTCTGTGGTCCGAAGGCCATTCTGTTTCTGGGTCAGAGGGCCTGAGGAGAGGCTCTGGGGATTTGGGCACTGGGTCTCACAGTTTGTCTTCTTCTCTGGGTTGGGTATTCCACCTGGGGCTGTAGATCGGGGCACACCATTGGAGGACAGTCCATCTTCCAACACACCTGGGGGAGGTAAGCAGAGGATGGAACCAAAAGCTTGCACACGGCAGATGTTGCAAACAATCCCAAGGTGGTAGAGAAAAAGAGAGTCAAAATAAAAAATAAAAAAATCACCAGAAATCCCACCATGCAGAGGAGGTACCCTTTTCTATAAGAACATGTATGCTTTTTACAAAAATGAGATTTTAAACAATTTCATAATATTAGATTTTTACTTAATGATACCTTGATGACTTTTTTCTATGCCATTAAATGTTCTGCCATATTATTTTTCACATCTATGTCATCATTTATTTAACTAATCCCCTCTACTTGGATATTTGTTTCCACATATTCATAATAAATCTTCCTGTGATGAAACGCCTTGTGGTTAAAGCTTTATTTTAAATTACTTCTTTGGGATAAAATCCTAGAAGTGGGATTACTGGATTGAAAGTTACATAAAGGTTGGGTTTTTGTTTTTTATTTTAGGTAGAGGGTCTCCCTCTGTTGCCCAGGCTGGAGTTCCTCCTTCTGACTTCCTCATCTTCCCTATGCCCCACCCCCTTCAACATCCACTGCTTACCCTATGCTCCAAACCCATTTTCTCCTATCCGTCTGTCAAAATGATACCAAACCAGGCTCATTCGGTCTGTGGACAGCAAACCAATCACCATGACAATGGGTTTTGCAAAAAAGAAAGTTTATTCATGAGGCAGCCAAGTGAGGAGGCAGAACAGATCCCAAATCTGCCTCCAAAGATAGGATTTAGGGCTATCTACGGGATAAAGTCGTGGGGTAGTCTAAGGCATGGGGAAAGATGAATGGCAGTGGGGGAAGTGAGATCATAATCATAGCCTGCTGCAGCCTCAAACTCATGATTTCAAGCCATCCTCTCATCTCAGCCTTCCAAGCAGATGGGACTAAAGGCACACGTAACCATGCCCAACTAATTTTTGTATATTTTTTGTAGAGACAGGGTCTCACTATGTTGCCCAAGCTGGTCTTGAACTCCTGGCATTGAGCAATTCTCCCACCCAAGTCTTCTAAAGCACTGAGATTACAGACATGAGACAACATGCTTGGCCAACACAGAGGGGTTTTTTTTTGCTTTTTTTTGGAGACAGATTCTCACACTGTCACCAGGCTGGGGTGTAGTAGCGCGATCTTGGCTTACTCTAACCTCCACCTCCCAGGTTCAAGCAATTCTCCTGCTTTAGCCTCCCAAGTAGCTGGGATTACAGGTGGCCACCACCATGCCCAGCTAATTTTTTGTATTTTTAGTAGAAACAGGATTTCGCCATGTTGGCCAGGCTGGTCTTGAACTCCTGACCCCAAGTGATCTGCCCACCTCGGCCTCCCAAAGTGCTGAGATTACAGGCGTGAGCCACTAAGCCCGGCTGGAGATTTTCTTTTTAGTAGATCCATCTCAGAATGTCAGACTGAGTATGTGTGCCTTTTATAATAAATGCCAAGATATGATAGAAAGAAGTTTAAGTAGGCTGTAGGACCAACTCAGGATCGCAGCTCCCAGTGAAAGTGCAGACGGTGAGTGGATGCCACATTTCCAGATGGATCTTTATTGCCCACAGACCAGGAGATTCCCATGTGTAGGAGCCCCACGGGCTGCCAGTGCCCAGAGCGGCTGTTTAGGCTGGGACCACAGTGCAGCGGCACTCCGTACAAAATACACTGGTTTGGTTGCCCTGTTAAGCCAGCAATTGGAGATTTCAGAAGGCAGATTAGCACATTCATCTGATTAAACGGGACTTAAACAGAAAGCCAGGCCAAGAGATTCCTGGGCAGCAACATTGTTCCAGCTGGCACAATGGGTCGCTGCACAGGAAATCACACAGATCCCAGTGCCCTTTCAGCAGTTGACTTGAACACCTGGGAGAGAGTCAACCGTTCAACTTAAAAAAAAAAAGGGGCTCTGAGGCAGGGAGCCAGGTGATCAGGCTCGGCAGGTCCCACCCTCACAAAAACAAACAAAACAGTAATTGGAAATGCTCGGGGTGGAGAGTTTCATGGCAAGCACAGCTGAACCCAGGACAGTGCAGCGCGGTGGGGGAGGGGCGGCCGCCATTACTGAGGCACTCGACCCCTACAGAGGTACTCTGCCATTGCTGACGCAGCCTGCCGTTGCCAAGGCAACCCGCCATAACAGAGAGAGTCTGCCACTACAGAGGCGGGCCACCATCACCACGGCAGCTCTAACCACACCCATATAAACAGGACTACAGGGAATTACACATGGCAGCAGGGCAGAGCCCACTACAGCAGGGTGGAGCCCACAGCAATGAGGCAGAGCCCACGGCAGCTCAGCATAGCCACTACAGGCAGGCAGTGATTAGACTGCCTCCTTGCTGGGCAGGACAGTGCAACGGATACTCATAAATAAAGCCCTAACTCCCTGGGACAGAGCAACTGAGGAAAAAAAGGGGCTTTATGAGTTCTGCTGCAGCAGACTTAAACGTACCTGCCTAGCAGCACTGAATGAACAGTGGAGCTCACAGCTCAGCACTTGAGCTCCTACAAAGTACAGACTATCTCCTCAAGTATAAGGTACAGACAGTCTCCTCAACAGCTCCCTGACCCACATATATCCAAAGAGTCACTTCACAAAGGACTGATCAGACTGACATTTGGTGGGCATCATTCAGGGACAAAGATAGCAGAAGAAGAAACTGGTAGCAACCGTCACGGTTCCGCAGCTGCTACAGGTGTACCCCAGGCAAGCAGAGCCCCGAGTGGACCTCAGCAGTCCTACAGCAGAGGGGCCAGACTGTTAGAAGGAAAACTAAGAAACAGAAATACTTCATCATCAACAATCTGGACATCCACTCAGAGACCCAATTGGAAAATCAGCAACTACTCAGACGACAGGTGGATAAATCCACAAAAAAAGGGAAGAAACCAGCACAAAAAGGAGGAAACCACCTGAAACCAGAACACCTCGCCTCCTACAAGGGACCACAACTCCTCACCAGCAAGAGAACAAAGCTGGATGGAGAATGAGTGTGATGAAATGACAGAATCAGACTTCAGAAGTTGGGTAATGAGAAACTTCCATGAGCTAAAAGAACATGTTCTAAATCAATGCAAAGAAACTAAGAACCTTGAAAAAAGATTTCAGAAAATGATAACAAGAATGGACAACTTAGGGAGGAATATGAGTGAATTAAAGGAGCTGAAAAACACAACACGAGAACTTTGCGAAGCATGCACAAGTTTCAACAGCCGAATTGACCAAGCAGAAGAAAGGATATCAGAAGTCGAAGATCAACTCAATGAAATAAAATGAGAAACCAAGATTAGAGAAAAAAGTGCAAAAAGGAATGAACAAAGTCTCCAAGAAAGTGGGACTATGTGAAGAGACCTAATCTACGTTTGATAGGTGTTCCTGAATTTGACAAAGAGAATGAATCCAAGCTGGAAAATACTCTTCAGGATATTATCCAGGAAAATTTCCCCAACCTAGCAAGGCAGGCCAATATTCAAGTCCAGGAAATACAGAGAACACCACAAAGATATTCCTCAAGAAGAGCAACCCCAAGGCACATAATCGTCAGATTCACCAGGGTTGAAATGAAGGAGAAAATAATACAGGCAGCCAGAGAGAAAGGTCGGGTCACCCACAAAGGGAAGCCTATCAGACTCACAGCAGATCTCTCAGCAGAAACCCTACAAGCCAGAAGAGAGTGGGGGCCAATATTTAACATCCTTAAAGAAAAGAACTTTCAACCCAGAATTTCATATCCAGCCAAACTGAGCTTCAAAAGTGAAGGAAAAATAAAATCCTTTGCGAACAAGCAAGTACTCAGAGATTTTGTCACCACCAGGCCTGCTTTACAAGAGCTCCTGAAAGAGGCACTACACATAGAAAGGAACATCCAGTACCAGCCATTCCAAAAACATACCAAATGCTAAAGAGCATCAACAAAATGAAGAATCTGCATCAACTAACGGGAAAAACAGTCAGCTAGCATCAAAATGGCAGTATCAAATTCACACATAACAATATTAACCCTAAATGGAAATGGGCTAAATGCACCAATCAAAAGACACAGACTGGCAAATTGGATAAAAAGCCAGAACCCATTGGTGTGCTGTATCCAGGAAACCCATCTCACATGCAAGAATACACAAAGGCTCAAAATAAAGGGATGGAGGAAGATTTACCAAGCAAATGGAGAGCAGAAAAAAGCAGGAGTTGCAATTCTTGTCTCTGATAAAATAGACTTTAAAGCAACAAAGATCAGGAGGGGACTCAAGATGGCGTGGTGAGAACAACCCAGGATTGAAGCTCTTGGTGAATGTGCGGAGAGTCAGGGCCGCATTTCCAGACAGATCTTTGTTGCCCACAGAACGGGGAAATTCCCAGGTATAAAAGAGATGCAGGACACCAGGCAGAGGCTTTGGCTGGTGCTGTAGTGCAGCGGCGCTACAAAGCACTCTGCACAAAGCGCACTGGTCCGGGTGCCCTGTTGAACCGGCAATCTGAGACTTGAGAGGGCTGAACTTGAGACTGAATGGGACTTGGACAGTGAGCCAGGCCAGGAAATTTCAGAGAAACAGCGTTTGGGGTAGCAGAGTGGGACAAACAAAATGGCGATTCCAAACACTCCGGGTGGAGAGGTTCCCTGAGGCCACAGCTGAACCCAGGACGGTGCACCTCCATGGGGGAGGGGCATCCCCCATTACCGAGGCAATCAGCCCCTACTGAGGTACACACCCATTGCTGAAGCAGCCTGCCATTGCCAAGGCAACCCGCTACAACAGAGAGACTTCGCCGCAGGGCGTAGCCCATGGCAGCAGGGCGGAGACCACAGCAGCAGGGCAGAGCCTGCAGAAACAGGGCTAACCTCACACCAACAGGGAGGAGCCTCGGCAGGCAAATAGTGACCAGACTGCCTCCTAGCTCGACAGGACAGCACAACGGACACTCACAAAAAAAGCCCCAACCCCCCTGAGACAGAACATCTGAGAAAAAAAGGTTTTTTTTTATGAGTTCTGCTGCAGCA